CCTTTTCTCCACAAACCACAGCCGCTCCTCCCCACCGCCCCACTCTGTGTCCAGTTCACAGCCCTCTGGCTTTGCCTCAAGTACCTAAGATTACTTTCAAATACCCTTTCTAACAAGACCCCCAGCAAGAGGCCACTAATTTCCAAGGCACAAAAAGCCACTGGAGAGAGATCCGTTTGTCAATATCAACCGGTCCAGCAATTTCCCATCCTCAGACACATGGGCCTATCTGAGCTGGCAGATGTTTAGACAAGATTTTATAAATTGTTCAATATCAGCCCATAATGAACCCCAACTGACCATTCCAAAGCAGCTAAAAGCACCCGGGACGTCCCCCGCTGGGATGCAATAATGTGCTCATGCTGCAGCATTATTAATCACGGAATAAAATAGATGAACCTCTTGAAAAATAAGTGTATGATTGATTAAAGGGCAATCTGAGGAGCTATTATTCTTGTTTTATAACCGTAAGTTATATTCACTCAATTTATCTTTGCAGAGGAAATAAATGATTGTTCATTTCTTTTCTGAAATTATATTATATGGATATCCATATAATTTTGCTGAAAATTAAAGTGACAGGTTTCCTGCTTTTATGATACTAATCAAAGGAAATATGTTACTTGCCTACAAATTCTAGACTTGTCCTATAATTAGATAGTGAGTAACACACTAACGAGGCAATAGTCTAAGGGTGTTTAAGCTTTTCTTTTCCCCCAGGGTAAGGGTGAGAGCCACTGAGAGGAAAATAAATCTCTCCTCCCAGTTTTTGCCTTGTGTTTAATGTGAGTTATATGAAAAGGAGAGTTAAGAAGTCATTCAATAAATCTGAATAATCTATGCCAATTTGGATAATTCAGGCTTTAAAATAAATAATCATTTCCATCAGTAATTTATGGTGGGGGTTGTAGCTCTTTATTATCTATGTTGCCACAATTTTCCAGTTTACTTTACTGAGGAGGTTCAATAAGCCAGAATCAGAAATAAATATTAAACGGATCCTAAAGCACAGGGATGTCAGGTCATTTTATTTTGTCAAGCTAAAAAATAAAAATAAAAAATTACACTAACAAGTATTTTGCATATTCAGAGCACAAAATTTTAATTTTCTCGCAATACATGTGTACATAATCTAAAAATCATAGGTATCTCCCTGCTGATTATTTCTCTTCCATCTGCCTCCCTTTTTATGAGCAGAAAGGGGAGATTATTTTACAGATTATCTTTAAAAAGCCTGAGGTCAGATCATCTGGGGGAGAGATGGCTCTCACTGGGGCTCTCTACCCAAATCACTCTTTTAAGAAAAAGGAGCCCCAAACACCATATTGCTGTAGTCTAGTCTGTTTTTATTTACAATTTACGATATAAATTAGTAAAGAATTATTGTTAAACAACCAACAAAGATTGTATAACCAGCAATGTTCAAATAAAAACCAGGCAGAATTTATTTACAAAAAGTTTAGATTCCATTGCAATACAACTTGCATAAATTACTAGAAGCTTTATATCATTATAAAAATAAATATCAAATTTGTTTCCACTTTTTAAGTACTCAAGTTCTTCAATCACGTTTTATTTCTACTGTGTACATCTTTTACAAATAAATTTTACAGTAAATCCTATCACACCTATAGCATATATACCGTGGCAATGAAGTGATCAATTCAAGATATCCTGAGAAAAAAGATTGTTTTCAAAAGTCACACATACATTGGGGAAGCTATACTATGCCAACAAATTCACGTATATCCAACAAAAGTCTGTTCAGTTAGTCTGGGTTGACAGTGCTCTGTGGCTCCTTCTTTTACAGTGGCACAAGATGCGGTCCGGGTGAGAGAGCGGCTTTTTACGTCTGTGTATTTATGAAGTTGGGAAGAAAGAATGGCCTGCTGACTTTTTTTTTCCAAAGCAATTGTGACACCTACCTGTGGACCAAGGAAAAAACCAAATCATCCCAAATCCTTCAGTTCCACACCAACATCACCGAATTATAAAAAGGCGTCATCTGAAAGGGTTTGGCCTCTTTGCCACCTTCAAGATGTGTACTAAGTAATTTTGCCTATTTATAAAAATAGGTGTTTTGTTTTTTTTAAGTACTGCTGTGAGCCAGAGGATCTGCAGGGTCCTATCAAGTCCATCTGGACACAGGGGGGTGGGCCTGTTAACAGAGGAGTGCTTCTTGTCTCTGTCTTACTATGCAAACATCATCTAGAAAGGCTTCTGATACCAAGTTTCAGTAACACTAGCTCATCAAAGCAAGTGTCTATTCCATGTCTAGTGGAGCAAAAACACTCCATATTGCACACGAATTCCCAGATTGAGGGGGAAAAAAGTATATCTATATATTATATCTATATATCTATATCTATATCT